GCATAGATAAACTGACTATGATACATACAGTAAAATAATAGTTATAAACTAATTTGAAAAAATATCAGTAAATGTTGCTGTCAGAGCTGGAACTGATTCTTTATAAGGACAACGATGAATGATAGTATCACAAGATACCAGTCCACTAATAGCATAACAATTCAACTACTCTTGAACTGAAGATCTGGATCATAAAGCCTTTCAATAACTCCCAAGAAACAGTAGAAAATGTTAGAAGTTGGTGTAGCATTACACGAATAATATACAAATACATATAATTATTCTACAAAAATAAAATAAAATAATAGTACAAACATTTGGTAGTTATTATTATTATTATTATTAGTATAGTTCAATCATGTGAGCTCATGTGGGCTCTTAAGTGAGCTATTCTAGACTTCATCATTACACCAAATTTTCATGTCAGTATTTTCATTGTCAATTTTTAATGGTCAAAATTTAAAACGGATAAAGGTATTAAATTAAAGTTAAATGATAATAATTGTTTGAATTGATCAATTAAAAATCAACGTATGGAGAGAATGGAATTAGGAAAGTTACTTTGATAAGTACAATAAGTATAATAGTATTTACACCTTGTAGGGATAGTACTATAACTGAAACAAAGAGGAAATATTGATGATTTTCTTAGCCTTTCAATGATTGTATCATTAGATAAATACATCTCGTCTGGATGTGCTTCAACCAGATGTGCTACTGTACTATGATTAAACTGTCCTGTACCAATTGGGGTAACTCTACCAAATGATGATACTATTATATGAGTCTGAAAGGTAATGGTAAGTTACTATAAAATAGAATAAAACTCACTGTATTAGCATATGGTATTGGTGGTAGCTGACAGAATTCGATATCAAAATCAAACATAGAAAGAGAGCATGTTACAAAACTGTTAGTACAGTCATGATGATTGATAGTTATTGATGATGTTAGGTTTAATCCAGTTAGTGTAGGCATTCTTGGTTTATTAGACTCAGGTATCAATGGCTGTAATGATTCATTAATAATTTTAATCTGATACATATAATCATTGAGCTGTTTCAATACATCACTGGTTGACATATTCTAATCAAATAATAATAATAAAAATAGATAATAATTATTGAATTTACTTTATCTTGTATCAATTTATTTATCTCTTTGCCTATAAATGATATTGACTCTCTTATAGCATAGATGATTACAATGAGAGATATATACACCCATTACATAGCATGTGACACAACCCATTAGTGTGTGACATATATGCCCATTATTACACAGCATGTGACATCAACATATACGACATATACCATTACACAGTGTGTGACATTACTGTCCCAGTGTATGCATAATACTTACTGTTAAACTTGAAGTGTTTATATCTACACAGAGTGTATATATATTTTATAACTAACACATACACTCACTATTATTAGTGCAGGTGGTACAGTTAGGTCCTGAAGTATCCTTTGTAGTAATCCTGTTATTAGTTGAATGATTTGATGCTATTGTAGTGAGAGACGATGATGATGAAGTTGAGTTATTAACTACACGATACATTAATAACGACAACAGTATAATAACAATAACTGTAATTAGAACAGTCAATGTGGCCAGTGATGCTAGTATATACTCCCAGTTGGTTAGTTCTTCATTGAAATATGATCTTATTCTCTTGTTTGTCCTTTTAATATGAACTGAAGGACTCACTGTAGTAGTTGTAGCTTTTAGATTAACTGGTAGATATGAGGTGTTGCTATAGTATATGTATTAATAAAGGGAAATTGAATTTTAGCATTTATTTCTAACCTTTTCGTACAAATTTTATTTGCATCAAAAGTATCATAATATTCACTCTCCAATTTTACCTGTGCATTGAATTGATATATAGTTCATGATCAAAAGGATAAACTTTATTCTTTACTGCATACTGAATGACTTACTGTAGTACTTGTAGTTTTTAGATCAACTGGTAGATATGAGGTGTTACTAGTGATTGATAAAGTGAAGTTGAATTTAATTATTATTCCTAACCTTTTTGTACAAATCTTGTTTGCATCAAAAGTATCATAATATTCAGTCTCCAATTCTACCTGTGAATGAATATAAATCAAAAGAATAAACTTTATTCTTTACATACTGAAGGAGTAGTCACTGATTGATATGAAGGATTAGTAGTGACTGGTGTAGCTAATAGCTGATTATTATTAGTAGAGAGAGGTACATGATCAGAGTAGCTAGGATTAGAGGAGACAGGAACTTCATAATCAGACACTGGAGCTTGTTGAATAGATACTGGTACTTCATGATCCATAGCTGCATACAGTGACTGATCATGTGATTCAACTACTGATATTTTAACTGCAAAACATAAGTTTATTTTAGCCATGTACAATAGTGTAGTAAGTATTTTTAATGTAGTTATGGAAGAAAATTGAAGGCTATGGTCAATATTTTTTAATGACTGTAGCTGAATAATAGTAAATAAACTAATTGAAATATTGATAAACTGTGTAGTATTATGATACATACAGTAAAATAATATTTTAACTAATTGTTGCTGCCAGACTTGGAAGTTCCTCCATATAAGGACAGGAACATACAGCTTTTTTAATTACTTCAAAAAACAGTAGAAAAATGAAATTGGTGCAGCATTATATGAATAGTATACAATTACATATCTATTCTGCAAAGACAAATTAAAATAAAATGATAATACGAGCATTCAGTAGGAGCTCATGTAACTACTGGCAATCCTTTTCTCTCTTAAGTGAGTCATTCTAGCCTTGCTCAGTACACCTAAATCCTCACCCTCTCTCTCCTTAATATCATTTTCATGACATTATTATTTTCAAAATAGATAAAGGTATTATGATGTAATTAATCAAGCAAAAATTAATGTATGGAGAGAATGGAGTTAGGAAAGTTACTTTGATAGGTACAATAAGTATAATAAAATTCACACCTCACAGGGACAAAGTTATAACTGAAACAAAGAGAAGTTATTGATGACTCTTAATCTTTCAATAATTGTATCATTAGAAAAATACATCTCATCAGTACTTGCTTGAACCTGATGTGTCATAGTAGTACTATTAAACTGTCCTGTACCAATTGGAGTAACTCTACCAAATGATGATGCTATTATATGAGTCTGAAAGGTAATGGTAAACTAATATAAAGTAGAATGAAACTTACTGTATTAGCATATTGTATTGTTGATAGCTGACAGATTTGGATGAGATCAAAAAAAGGCTGTATAACAATATCACATGCTACAAAACTGCTAGTACAGTCATCGTGATTGATAGTTATTGATGATGTCAGGTTTAATCCAGTTAGTGTAGGCATTCTTGGTTTATTAGACTCAGTTATCAATGACTGTAATGATTCATTAATAATTTTAATCTGATACATATAATCATTGAGCTGTTTCAATACATCACTGGTTGACATATTCTAAATAAAATAATAATAATAATAATAATAATAATAATAATATAAATAGCAATTATATTAACTTACTTTGTCTTGCATCAGTTTATTTATCTCTTCACTTATAAATGATATTGGCTCCCTTATAGCCTATATGATTACATTTACATAGAGAGACACATACCCATTACACATGACCCATTAGTGTGTGACATATTATATGCCCATTATTAAGAGTATGTGACATCACTGACATATACCCATTACACAGTGTGTGACATATATAATGTGTGTGACATTACTGTCCCAGTGTATGCATTACTTACTGTTAAACTTGAAGTGTTTATATCTACATAGAATGTATACATATTATAATAAATAAACACATTCACTCACTATTATTAGTGCAGGTGGTACAGTTAGGTCCTGATTCATCCCTTGCAGTAATCCTGTTATTAGTTGAATTATTTGATGCTATTGTAGTGAGAGACGATGACAAAGTTGAGTTATTAACTACACCAGACATTAATAATGACCACAGTATAATAGCAATAACTGTAATTAGAACAGTCAATGTGGCCAGTAATGCTAGTATATACTCCCAGTTGGTTAGTTCTTCATTGAAATATGATCTTATTCTCTTGTTTGTCCTTTTGATATGAACTGAAGGACTCACTGAAGTAGTTGTAGTTTTTAGATCAACTGGTAGATATGAGGTGTTACTATAGTAAATGCATGTATTGATAAAATAAAATTGAATTTTTATTCTTACTTCTAACCTTTTTGTACAAATTTTATTTGTATCAAAAGCATCATAATACTCAGTCTCCAATTCTACCTGTCAATTGATATAATATAGTTAATAATCAAAAAAATAAACTTTATTCTTAACTGGTTGATAGGAAGGATTAGTAGTTACTGGTGTAGCTAATAGCTGATTATTATTAGTAGAGAGAGGTACATGATCAGAGTAGCTAGGATTAGAGGAGACAGGAACTTCATAATCAGACACTGAAGCTTGTTGAATAAATACTGGTACTTCATAATCCATAGCTGCATACAGTGACTGATCATGTGATTCAACTACTGATATTTTAAGAATGTGCAATATACATACCAGTAAGTTTATTTAACAATTAGTGCAGTAGTGCAGTAAGTTATTTTAACGTAGTTATGGAATAGCTAAGTGTCAAGAGGATTGAAGGCACAGCTTGCATATGCTGTACTGGTCAATGACTGTGGCTAATAATAATAATAGATGAACTAATTGAAATATTGATGAACTGCATAGATAACCTGACAATAATTCATACATTAAAGTAATACTTTAACTAATTGTTGCTGCCAGACATGGAACTGCTTTCATATAGGGACAGAAACATACAACTTTTTAATAACATCAAAAAACAGTAGCAAAATGTTAGAGATTGGTGTAGCATTACATTTACACATATAATATATGTATAGGTTATACACTGAGGTAGAGGTTTCTATGGGACCATCACGTGATCCTATTCAAATCAATGCAATTATTCAGGTACACTGTAAGTCTCTGTGACAGGTATGCATGTTAACTCCATCCATAATTATAGACCATAGATTAAATTCTTCAACGAATAATTTATTATCCATTAAAAATTAAAACAAAAATCACAAGAAACTATATTGATAATAAGATACACAATAGCAGTAGTAACAATAATAGTACTCCTTTTTATGATGATAGATAATAATTAATATATTGTCGGATCTTTATTATAATACATAAAACCTGTCACTACTGACAGAAAGAGTAAAGGTGATATTTCAAAAATGAAACAATAAGTGCGGCCTGATAATGTGAACCTCTATCCTCTATATTTACATGTACTATAACGAAATAGAGAGGCTGCCATTTTGAGGTACATCTTGCTGATAAGAGCATTTTTTGAGATAAGCATGACAGTATGCCTGTTGCACATTTTCATTATAACAACCACAGGCAATGGTGGATTGCTGTAGCAACTGTAATCCAGACTCATATCTACTATCAGCAGTCCTTTTTATTAATACAACTGAGAACACTGGTTTAGGTAGTACTGGAGGTACATCACATGAGGCACTAACAACTATATGTGTCTACAGAGAGAGAAACAAAATGTAAATGTAACTTCTAATTATTACTTGCATCATTAGCATAAGGTGAATAAGCTGTAGTACAAACACCAAAATTTACTCCACCAGTAGCAGCAAGACCAAGCACTTCACTAGGTGTACACTCCCATAGTTCATCAACACAGTCACCATGATTGATAGTTATTGATGATGTTAGGTTTAATCCAGTTAGTGCAGGCACTCTTGGTTTATTAGACTCAGGTATCAATGACTGTAATGATTCATTAATAATTTTAATCTGATACATATAATAATTAAGCTGTTTCAATACATCACTGGTTGACATATTCTAATTGAGAATAGAAAAAATAATGATAGAGGTAATTAATGAAGTTACTTTATTTCGCCTCAGCTCA